ACGGGAAGAAGCGGAACTTCATAGTCACGCCGTTAGTTCTGTTTTTCATAACTTCGAAGATGTAGATAATTGCATCTATGTTGGAACCAACATTAACACTAACAACAAAGTCAGTCAAATTCAACAGATGCTACTTCGGACTGAGTAGGCAATTGAGAAGTAAAGTCCTCTCTCAACGAGCAAAGACCAAATTCTAGAAGCCACTCATCACCCCCGTCCTGCTATTTGGTGCAGAGGCATGGACGATGATAACATTTTATGAGTCGGTGTAACGAGTTTTCGAGAGAACGGTTCTGTGGAAAATTTATGGTTCTTTGCGCGTTGGCCACGGCGAATATTGCATTCAATGGAACRATGAGCTGTACGAGATATACGACGTCATTGACATAGTGCAGCGAACTAAGTCACAGCGGTTATACTGGCTGGATCATGTCCTCCGAATGGACGAAAATATTCTAGCTTTGAGATATTCCACTAAAAATCGGCTACTAATCTACCCAACAAACAACCCCGTCGCCTTCCTCCTCTATTTTATTTTCTCGAATTTACTGCTGGATCAACTCAATGAAAAGTACTAATAATGGAGAGAGGTTAAGAGAAAACTTTTTACCCAAACTTGTATCCTAAGAAAAATCGAAGTGTCAAAGGTTTCAAACAGTTAGTTCGAACTTTTTGTACATTACAGAAAATACTGAGTCTGACAACACTCTATCGAGTTCGCTTCTTATCGCACAGCCTTCCAAGCCATGAGATACCCCTCCGCAGTGACATGAGAGTTAAGCATTGCCACCCCAACCGCATTTGAAGCGGAAATTTATGCAAAGTTCATCTATTTGCACAAGTCAAATTCGCGGAGAGCAAACAACATGTTTGCAGCTGAGATGGCCGCAGGTGATTACTCAACTGCCACATACAAAAACCGCTTGAACCTAAAAAGTAAATAGATATCCGAGATAAAATATAGATAAAAGCAATGTAAATGGCGAAAATGCGGGACTTAAAGCAACGAAAGCCAGTTGCGGCGGATGGAGAATAATTGCAAAAATATGCGGTTATGGCTTTGGCGCTTGAGGTGGTTTTGGGGCACTCATACAGCGGCAAGGCATCAACCAAGGCTGGGTGACGGAGCGCTTTATCGCTGGAGGTGTGGTTGGCGTGGCGGTGGTGTGTTGCGACCCCTAATAATTAGTATGAAAAATATTTTATATAATGGCGCATTAACGGCGCAATATTGCAATTATAAAGACGTCTATGTATGTGTGTGTACATCGCTAACTGAACCAACCCCAAAAGCGGCAAGCATCCACTGCAGACTCTAAAATGTACAGCTAAAAGTCAAGTAGCTCAGCTTAGAGGATTAATAATATTAAGACAGATGTGCGACTTCCACGGAATACTAACCCCAACCGTTACTTTCCAAATGAACATAGATATATAAGCAAGGCTCATAAATATAATATTTACTTTTGACTCTCGTGTAGAGCCAATGAATTCATCTACTCTTTGTGCTCGGCTTATTTCGTTGCTACTTTCGCTCTCTTGCACGTGCCCCTGTCACACCTTTGCTGTCAGCGCAGACAGGTGCTTATTAACGTTAATGCCACCTCTACGTCGCCATTTAACTCGTTGTAGATGAGTGCATTTATCTTTATGCGAAGGCAAAAACAAAAAACAAACAAAAAAATACAAATTCGACCCACTTCACCTTCATCGACTGCCGCGAAGTCGTGAATTTGGGTCATTGCTGTCGCCATTGTGGCTGTGTAAGCAGCTTTAAGATGTGCTTTTTCCATCTTTCTCTCTCCCACATTTTCTCGCTTTCTGCCTCCCTTCAGTTTCGCTGTTCACCCTTTTCCTTGATTTTGTATTTCATTTGTTACATATTGCTCTCGTTTTTGTTTCGGTGGCAGATTAAAAATTATGAGCGCGAAATACATAAATGAGGGGGTTTAAAAGAAAAATTATATCGGCATAATGAAAAGTGGTAATTATGCGCACTTCAATTACATAGGCGAGACCAAGAGTCGAGAGGCATGTACTTAGTCGCCTCATTTTTCTTTGTTAATTTATTTGCTTGAATAGCTCATTGAAATAAGAAAAATATGCCGAGTGTTCTCGAAGTGGAATTAAATTCAGTTCTTTATAAATGCAAATTGCAGCAAATTTTGCTTCAGTAAATACTTTTGGATAGGAAAATGTTGAAAATTGAGCAAAACCTGTGCTTATGACCACAGTATGTTTAAGAGAGTTTTTTTAAGAACAGGCAAACATAAATTTAGTAATAATTAAGAAGGATATTCTATTGAGGGAGTTTTGCATCGACCGAAAGAAATGCTAATCAGAAAAAGCGGGGTCAAAGCTACAGGTTATGTGAGGCAAAACTTTGTGAAAGCTGTTTTCCAAGCAGTTTTTAAACGGTTTGGGAACATGAGGCGAACGATGTCACAATGAAAAATTAATGTACTCCCCAATTTGGAATTAGATATCTTCAAAACTCTTCCTTTGAGAGTGGAAACCGTTTGGAAAAACACCACTCTGAGAAAAATTCCCCGTTCTGTTCCCTTGAATTTCCATTTTAAAATTTTAGAGAATTTTTATTACAGTGTATATTTATTATAGTGTATATTATTCTATAATGCAACAAAAAAATCGATTTATAGAAAATTTCATACTGAGACAATCCCTTAAAGAACAACGGCTGCACAACGTTATGAACTGCTTGAGTTACACACAGAGATTCTGCGAGTGCCTCTTGTATTTGGCGAAAATCTTCATCCAGTAATCCTTCCTGTTCCTAATATTCAAACGTGTTAGTCCTTCTTCAAATGAAGTTCTAAGCCGTAATCGCCAATTTTAAATCGTGCAAACCACTTTTGGCACGCTCAGTCAACTGGACACATAAGCCACTATCAATTTCCAAAAAAAAAAAAAAACCATGACTTTCGACTGACGTCTCCCATAGTAATGAAAATCAAAAGTAACATACATTTGAAGCGATGCACATGTGCCAACGTTTCTTCCAATCGTCAAACCATAGGCACTTTCCGGGATGGCCTTCAGCTCTCGCGGCGAATTTGTTTTGATGTCTGCATTTGATTCGAAGCTTGTCCTCCGAAGTGGATATTTCAGTGTGAGGAATGGTAAAAGTCACAGGCGGCCATATCAGGTGAATACGGTGCTTGCTCAATGATATTTGTTAAGTATTTGGCCAAAATTTAACACAACTACGTTAAATTAAATTTTCAAATTCGACAAACACTACTGAGGTCGACTGACAGAAAACGCTGCTGTAAACACACTGGTTGACAGATCGCGCTAATTTTTGGCTTCATAGTTAAAGACAGTTGTACCAACCTATAGAAATAAAACCTGTCTTTCATATAAGCGGGAGATGAGAGGGGAAAATAAAAAATTCCCGATGTTTTCTTGACAGGGTGTATACAGAAAAAAGCGGATACAGACAGTAGCTTTCCAACAATATAATTTCAGCTTAGCGAACTACCTCCCCTCCCTCCGTGAGATATCAATCTGCAATTTTGCACCCGTCTTAGTCTCATAAACAAGCTGTTCATTTGGTGGAGTGACCGATATCGGACCACTATAGTATAAAGCAGTAATACAAACTGAACTACAGCAGTTGATTGCTGGTATGGATAACTTTTTTATTTGACTATATAACCTCACGACATTAAGCATGGGTTTTTGCAAAGCAACGCTACAATTCTCCAAAAAATTCTTCTGGTCGAGCCACTATAGCATCCCATATAAACTGACCGATCAAAGTTCTCGTAAGAAATAAAAAAGAATGGAGCAAAGTAAGTGTTTCTTCTAGTATTTCTTTACTCAAAAGCTATTGAAAACCTTATGTACAATATGACAAAAAGCTCCTTCCGCGAATTTTGTTTTATCTTTTAGATCTCCTATTGATTGATTGTTGACATTGTTGCTTCTCAAACTCATAATAATAATTTTGTAATATTTTTGTCAGTTGCACAGATCGAAGTTCGTCCGGAAAGAGACATGTCTTCAACGATCTCTTGTGTTTTTGATAAAACAGAATCACCGTAAGCCTTCCCCAACATTCGTAATGATTCCGCATACGAAATCTGGTTAGAATTTCAAAATTTGAGACAAATTCTTTGTTCAATATTTTTTGCTATTGTAAAAATCTCAACGGACTACGGAGGCATATCGACTTAATCCGCTGCTGTAAAATAACTGGTTGACCGATTCCGCTCATATTTGGCACATTTATTAAGGGCAACCCTACCAAATATGCAAAACACATTCTTTTGAAGTACCATTTTTGCAGTCAATTTAATAACAATTTCCGAGAGCTTCTTTGTCACATAATATTATTACTATTAAATCGAAAAATTATGCTTTGAGCCGGTCTGTAACATATCTGGTTTGCTCAAATCTTAGGTTTTATGTTAAATGTAAAAATTTAAGTAGAACGTTTTCTAAGCGGAAAGCGCTTTGTTTAAAAGTTAAGGAATAAACATATGTACTATAACTATTTAGTTATTGAATAGTAAATGTTTCTCAACATAATTTCTCTTTCTCTTTGGTTACTTTCTCCTGAAAGTTAGTTGTAAACTTAAGATAAACAATTATCTTGCGCATATTCCTATTGCTACTAATAATATAGTAAATTCGCACAAAAACTAACTTACAACAAAAAAAAATTAACTATCGAACTATGTATATATCACACATTCATTCATAAACTTTAAACCTAACTTAAGTGAAAGTCTATAAGCAAGTTCAAAGCTTAACTGTAAGCGATTTAGATAAGATCGTAAACACAATGCGATAAGAAGTGACTAATTACAACGATTAAGGATTTATATGTTGACAATAGGTAAAATTAAATTAAATTAACAATTTTTTACACAGCTGTTGATCAAAGTATCAAATGTCAGAAGTATATAAAAGTTTGAAGACTGAAGCCAACAATACAGTTTTATCGAATCATTTGACAAAAAGTAGGAGTTATTTCAAGATGATTGCTTGCAAGAAACAAATGCTTTTTTGCATTCTACTGCTTTTAGGTACTTTTGCGGCGGATGGACGAAGACTTGGTAATATTTTATGAACACTCAAGAATCAAATTTATTATTGAAAACTCCTTACACAGCGCATCGCCGTTATCAGCAGCATCGCAACCGTAGACACCGCACACCTCTATTGCGGCAAGTGGATACTGGAACGATTACTGGTACAGCAGAAGATGACGATGGTGGCACTGGTACTGGCACCGCCATGGATACGGTCACCGGTACGGCAGCTGAAGCTGATGAAGAACCAAATGCCGCGTTGAAGAGAAAATCAACCGAAACACTGATTGTTCTTAAGCCAGCACAAACGGGTGATAGTTCACGCATGTTTAAAGGATTCTTTCTGAAAAAACTACTAGGCGGCTCCAGTGATGGCACTGCAAATAGTGGTAGTGGTTATTCTAATATGCCCTACATAATTGTCAATGTGCCCACCAACATAACAAATGTCAATCAAAACAGTTTGAATAACACAGTAGGAGCTACAAACGCAACCACCACAACTACAGCCGCACCAGCTAGTCGTCGTCAGGTCATCTTTCAACCTATACCCTTCCCGGATACCACACAATATGAGCAATACGAGCAACGCCGCAGTAGACCCGAAAATCAAGCCACTCCACAGAATTTTATACTCAGTCCAAGTAATCGGTTGGTTCCTGTCTATTTGCCGCCTGAAGTACAAGCCTTAATGCAAAGTAGTTTCGTCCCCAACAGCGTTAAGCAACCAAAACGTAAACAGTTAAAGAAAAAGGTTAACAAGTATCAAAACAATGTAAATCCATTTTCCGCTTTCGGCCACAATTTTAGACGCATAGAGTTCCTGTAAATCTTTCGACTTCAATAAAATATTACTGGATGGTTCAAAATTACGCATTGTCTTATTTGGTATGGTCGGAAAGATTTTGAAGAATTGTAGCTGTGTCAGTGCTCACTCAAAAGTATTTGTTTTCAATTTGGATATTTTCTGAGAAACTTGTAGTGATGTTGTCAACAGTTTTCAGGGTAAAATTATGAACTGAGCTGTGCGCTCTACGAAAGAAGCATGCTGCGGCAAATACTTACTACACTACTTCTTACAGTATATACTTATTATATAGTCTGCAAAACTTAATTCAAAACTGCACTTTACTGGAAGATATAGACTAGTCGCCTTAATATTTTACATTAATTTAGCTGGCCGACATATGCATTAGACGCAATATCTGCTAATATGGAAAAAATCGGTAGGTATACTTGGGGTAGGTCATGGACCAATTGAACACATTTGTTTTACGACATCTGACATACATATCCGTTATAAACCCAATTGGAAATTTTAGCAGTAAGTGGATCTCCCGATTTCATTCATTTTCCTTAAGAAATTTAATAGTTTGACCGATATATACGGTATTAAAGCAAATAAAATATTCGAAAATGTATATTTTATATACTGCTGTGGGCTAAAGATAGTAAGATTTGTTAATTTAAATTTTCGAAAACCCTTTGTCAAAATATTTTTGTTCTACTTTGGTATCGGCGAGCGAGTGTTTTTCATTGGTACAAATTATTCAAAGAGGTCCGAGAACGGGTTAACGGGAACTGCGTCCAGAGCATCAATAGAATAAAGGATTTGGCGCTTGAGTATCGCAGTCAGAAATCTTACTAGTATCGTTGGAATATCCGAAGGATCAGTGAAATGCATTTTGAGAGATCTTTTGGGCATAAGAAAGTGAAAACACGATTGGTTTCAGAATCACTAATTTTTTCGAAAAACGGCGTCTTGTTAAAGTTTGTGGAATAATGCTTTCCGACTATCACGTTGTCATGAAACATATTGTTACTGGCGATGAGTCTTGAATCTAAGCTTATGACCCGAAAAACAATTATCAACCGGGAGAATATCGTGGCAAATGTGAGCCAAAGCCGAAAAAAATACGTTCAAAATCAAGGTTATGTCGGCAGTTTTCTTCGTTAATCGAGGTGTGGTGCACTCCGAATTCCAGACCAGTCAAAATGTCAACAAGGCATACTACAAGAGTGTTATGCGACGTTTGAGAGAAGCGTAAAAAGAGGCCGGAATTATGAGCCGACTGCTCTTGGTTTTTGCACCACGATAATACACCGTCGTTCCTGAGTTTTTCGCTAAATTCTCAACCAATTTCGTACCGTATTCGTCTAATTTTGCTCCATGTGACTCTGGCTATTCAGCAAACTCAAAAGACTGTGAATCGCTACAGGCATTGAAGGCTATTCCGGAAATTGACTTTAATAACTGTTTCAAAGAAAAGAAAAAACGTTGGACCTGTGTAATGGGTCCAACAAGAATAATATCGAGGGGACCGACATAAATGTTTAAGGTTTTAATTTACATTCTTCATTCGACGTCTGTATAGAACGTTTGTTACGTGGTTATAATTGGATTTTACTAATTTTGTGAATAAATAGGTCCTAAAAAGATTTCTTCTCAGCAAGTTTGGTTGAGTTAGCTTAAGCAGTTTAGAAGATATGTGTATTATATAATTTAGGGGGCAGGGGCTACATTTAAAAGAAATTTATTCCCCAAGTGTCCCTGGCTACTGCGATCTCCGTACCAAATAAGAGTTTTGTGTTTAGTTATGACACTTTATAGATTTTGGTTTAATTATGTGCGCGTTTCAATGATTCAATTATACCCATCTGCAATAACAATATCCCTTGGGCGCCAAGAGCACGTGTACACAGTTCGTTCAAAATATCTCAAACTTAACCCAAGTTATCGACACGTCATCCTGATCACTGATATATGTACATTTATAACCGGCTTTTTAATAAAACCGTTCAATAACACGTTCACCCAACTTGGTTTTCAATAAAACGATTGTTACATTCGCTGCGTGGCATGTGGTGCCGTCTTGTTGGAACCACATATTGTCAAAGTCCATATCATCCAATTCTGGCCAAAGGATTCGGTTGTCATTGAGCGGTACCGATTCCCATTCGCAGCAAAATGCCGGTCTTGATCATCACAGAAGAAGTACGGCACAATGACGTCGCCGGCCCATAAACCGCACCAAAGAGTAATTTTTTCAGGATATCCGTGCATTTTTTCAGGTGACTCATGGAGTACGTGTGGATTGCTGCTTGACCAATAACGCATATTTTGCTTATTGATGACGCCATTCAGCCAGAAATAAGAATCATCGCTGAAGATGATTTTTCGACGAAAATCCGGATTATTTCCAATTGCTGCTCAGCCCAATTCTCGGACATACGACGATTCTGGCAAGGACTACTGACGATGTTGCAAGGATGCAGGCCAAGATGATTTTGGGTCTCACTGGCACTGGAACATTTTATATTGTGCCTTAATCGACCATAATCGTAACCTATCGGTCTACTTTTGTAGCTCCTATTGAAAAACCCGATATAACCCTATATCATCTCGATTATGATCTCGGTGATGCAAACAACTGTTAGGTGAAGAATACATATACTCTGTAATAATTTATTGATTTAGGTCAGACAATGAAAATTACAAAGATATTGCAAAACTGTCAGTTATACCGAAACTTTTTGAAGCTATCATTGTAGGCCATATAACTTTTACGATTTCTCCGTTAACTTCTTCTTCTCTGCATGAAACTCACTTGAATGACCATGTATAATGGGTTTCAGGAAACACAAACTTACATATGTACACTAACTTGAGCATTCATTAAATTAAGTCTCTTGACTTTCGGACATAATATTGAGTTTCTAGGCTTTCAGTCAAGATTGCTTTAATGAGTATCTTTTTTTCTTGATAATAGGACACAACGACTGATATTTGAGGATACTCTTTCAGATTCAATTTATTTGATTATCATCAGATTATTTGAGGATACTCTTTCAGATACAATTAAGGTCTCTGCAGGTGTTTTATTTGACGATATTTCTTCTGTAATAGAATTCGCTTTTTAGATCATAGAAATCATATACTTTAATTTATGAAAGCTGTCTGTTGTAAAAGGACTTGGTCTTAAGAATTTAGAAATCGTATGTTACTGTGAGACTCTTTACAACTTTGCGCATACATATATTGGAATATGGCTCTGTGGTATGAGGCCCTAATTATCAAATCCATTCTGACAAGTTCGAGTCTTTTCAAGAAAATTTTTACGTTTTGCTTTAGTAAATTTTCAAAGGGATACTAGCTTACGTCTATAAATCTGCCTTCACTACTATTCGTAGCAAAATGTCAAAATATTCCTGGAGTATATCCTCTATGGACTGAAGTTAAAACTAGGATCCCGGTTCGCTTTTCTATGCAGTTTAGACTCTTAAGAGGAAAACATAGTACCCCTAATTCACTCTTCACACTATTTCATACTATAACAAGAATAAAATACCTGTATTGTGGCCTTGGTAAGATAGATTTGAGAGATTTCACCTCTAAGACATAATTAGTATAATTTATTTTCGACACGGCCTGAAATATAACTTGCTTAATTCTTGGGATTTTTTTTATTAACAAAAACTTGGTTATACAATTTCTAGTCAAGGAGCCCAAGGAGCTTAAACAGATAATAAATATTCATTAAAATAACGACAATTCATCCATTATCTTCACAAAAACTTTACGGTCATCATGCTTTGTGCAAAATAGAGCATTCTTTCGAATATCAAACGTAATAACTTTCGCCAGTCTATCTTACTTTGGTTCAAATTACTATTCCTCCGAAAACCTACACCGAGCATTAATTTACAACAAAAAATATTTTTTACTATTAAACTACACTCATTCATAAACTAGACCTAACTTAAGTGAAAGTCTATAAGCAAGTTCGAAAGCTTAACTGTAAGCGATTTAGATAAGATCGTAAACACAATGCGATAAGAAGTGACTAATTACAGCGATTAAGGATTTATATGTTGACAATAGGTAAAATTAAATTAAATTTACAATTTTTTACACAGCTGTTGATTTGGAACAAAGTACAAAATGTCAGAAGTATATAAAAGTTTGAAGACTGAAGCCAACAGTACAGTTTTATCGAATCATTGGCAAAAAGCAGTACCAATTTCAAGATGACTTCTTACAAGAAACAAATGCTTTTTTGTATTCTACTGCTTTTAGGTACTGTAGCAGCGGATGGACGAAGACTTGGTAATATCTTATGAACACTTAAAAATCAAATTTATTATTGAAAACTCCTTACACAGAGCATCGCCGTTATCAGCAGCATCGCAACCGTAGACACCGCACACCTCTATTGCGGCAAGTGGATACTGGAACGATTACTGGTACAGCAGAAGATGACGATAGTGGCACCGGTACTGACGCTGGTATGGATACCGTTACTGGCACGGCAACTGAAGCTGATGAAGAATCAAATTCTGAGTTTAACAGAAAATCAACCGAAACACTGATTGTTCTTAAACCAGCACATTCGGGTGATAGTTCGCGCATGTTTAGGGGCTTATTTTTGCAAGGGCTCTTCGGCGGTACCGGTGGACTCGCTGGTCTGCTTGGTAACGGTGGAAATAATGGAAGTGGTTTTAGTAATGTTCCCTACATAATTGTCAATGTCCCGAGCAATATAACAAATATCAATCAGAACAGTTTGAACAACACAGTAGGAGGCACAACCACAACCACCACAACTACAGCCGCACCAGCTAGTCGTCGTCAAGTCATCTATCAATCTATACCCTTCCCAGATACCACACAATATGAGCAATACGAGCAACGCCGCAGTAGACCCGAAAATCAAGCCACTCCACAGAATTTCATACTCAGTCCAAGTAATCGGTTGGTTCCTGTCTATTTGCCGCCTGAAGTACAAGCCTTAATGCAAAGTAGTTTCGTCCCCAACGGCGTTAAGCAACCAAAACGTAAACAAGTGAAGAAGAAGCCTAACAAGTATCAAAACAACGTAAATCGATTTTCCGCTTTCGCCAATAATTTTAGGCGTATAGAGTTTCTGTAAGTTTTGAGAGTTTAATAAAATATTGCAGGATTGTTCAAAATTATGAATTCGGCATCTGATCAATCGATAAAAATGTGTTCCTTAGTTTGTTTACACAACATTTTTTTATGCTCGTTTGTTTGATCTCCATATTCTAATTATACACGAAGAAATGTTAGAATCACGGTTACGAAATCCTTGAAAATGTTGCAGAAATATTTTGAGGAGTTTACCTTACCAAGAAAACAAGTACCTTAGTGCATAAAGCATTCAAAAAGCGTCCTGAAGTCATCGAAAGTTTGTCTGATGAGAGTCTTCCATCCAATTCGGCCAACTCTGTTAATCATGACAACAGCAAAGAAGTTAACGAAAGCGTGATTGTAATGCTTCGCGTTGGCATCGAAGAGACAGCACCTGATCTCAACATCTCTTATGGATCGACTCAATACATTATGGTTAATGTTTTGGGTAAGAAGCCTTTATCTGCTAGAATTGTATCAAAAGACTTAAATCTTTTTCGAAAACGACACCGAGTACATTCATCAAAGCATCATTGCTGTTTATGGGTTATGGAGGTTGAAACTGTTCCATTACCTAACGAAGGGAACACGGAATCTCGTTGCAATCCGAATTGCTACGAACTGTGCCGAACTGACTCTCCACGGTCCTCGTGTACACTTTCAGATAATATTGCTATATTTTCTACACTTGTCGTGCTTAATTTGGCGTAAGTAAAGTAGGTTGCCTGCTGTAACGTCCATATTTTTCTAGTTATAGAGGTTACAAAATATCCAAAAACTCTTTCCGGTAGATCTAAAAGCTTTACCGTACAGAAGTTTTCGAAGTTTTTTAGGGAAAGTATAATAAGCATATATAGATGAGATGTTGGACTCATTATGCTTGGTCGACATAAAAGGGCTTAGGTGCAACTTAATTGGTCGATAGCTGTATACTCCGCCATAATACTGAACATAGCTTAACATTTAATTAAGCGCTGAACACACTAAAATACTACTTTGTAGCAATATTTACACTTGTTGCTGAACACACTTTAAATATGTGCAAATATGTTGCATAGGCAACGGAGAATCTAAACCAATAACCACAAATTGACTTAAATTGTATTGTTTTTGGCCAAAAAGTATTTTTAAGAAAAATACTCAGTTTCGAAGTTTGCGCTTTCCTTTGTTGGAACTTAAATCTGCTTTATAACTCACACTCGCCGCACATAAACATTTGCCTGCGCACTATTTCACCTGCCACAATCTCGCTTCTAAAAGAGTTTTACGATAATATCGTTTTGTGAGAATGAAACTTTCTGCCCAATCTTTAACTTTGTGCACATTTATTTGTAAGAACTTCCAGCACACTCACACACACACCTGTACACATGGCGCTTAAGTTTGTATCGGAGAGCAGCGCTGCATTTGTAGGAGTAAGAGTACTTCTGGCAGCTCGAATGCGCGCACTGTTGCATTGGCACCGCTGCAACAATTGTTTATGCAACCCTGCCGTATTCTATTTGCGGTAGTTTTGCTGCTCTTACGCCGAAATCTGCTGCCATAAAAAGTTGCATGCAACAAACCAAAATCGCAACAAAGTTTATGCAACTGTTTATTTTCACTTCTCTCAATTCTACTGTACCTTCTTCGCTAGCAACAAACTTTGCCAAGCTGCCAGCGTTTGGCTGGGTCGCCGAATGATTTTATGAATATGCAAATAAATTTCAATTGAAATGCCAAAATGTAAATGGAAAGGCAGTCAAAAATGTCTAGCGTGGAGTGTGTAGCGTGAAGCGTGTGACTACGCTATGTACAAATTAATGTGCGTGGCTGCAGCAGTTGGTTATAAACAGCAAGATCTTGTCCGCCCACCCACAAATATACGGACGACATACATACATACGGCCCTACATAACTGTAAGAAAGTCAGAAGTTTGGCAGCCGGTAAAACGGTAGTTAAAAGTACTTGTACTTTATGCAGCGGAAACTGATAAAATATTGCAAGGCGGAACTGGTGAAGTTACTTTGGCATATTTTGCGATAGAATAATGTTGAATGCAATCATGATGGAACTGTTTAAATTGCTTCCTATTTAAGAGTAACTGTTATGAAAAAATTATAAACAAACAATCGATAAGTAATGAAAAGAGAAGGTGTTGTCACGTTGTTGAAGACCGCACTCTTTACTCGATGTCTTTCGACATTCGATGTTAAAAGTGATTTGTGATTTTTAAACCTTTCAACAAAATTGAAAACAGCTTAAGCGAAGGTAAAAATCTAGCGGAAACGTCCGAATATGTTAACGATAAAACAATGGTAATCGTTGTGCCCGACGAAAAACCCGTTTGAAGTAATGTGTTGTCCAAGCTCTCAATTCGTACCTGTACAATCCCAAAAGGTGAAGGAAACAGTCCTTCAGATGTGGCGAACTTTGCCAATAAGAGTGAAATTGTGTTCCATCAGGATATTGAAGTAGGTAATACTACTGTGATCAAATTGAAAGGTGAATTTTGTACATTTCATCTCCTACAGAGTAATCCCCTTCCGCTGCAATACACTTTTTTCCAGTCATCATAGGACTTGAAAAAATCCTCCGTCGTGATAGCCATCGAACCCTTCTTCGATTCAGCTTTTATATCCTCAATTGTGTCAAAACGGTGTCCTCTGAGTAATGATGTGAATTTGCTGAATAGCCAGAAGTTACACGAAGATAAATCAGGCGAATAAGTTGGTTGCGGCTTGATATTATTCGAAAATGTTTCGAAATGATCACAAATAAGCAAAGCAGTATGCGATGGTGCATTATCGCACGTCTTTGTTCAATAAATCGAAAAATTGAAGAATTCACTTTTACAGCCACACAAAACGACGCGTATCTCAAATAATAATGAATATTTTGACGAGCGCATATAAAGTTCTATAGAGCGTACTGTACGAAAGGCTGAGGACCACCGGCAACAAATTTATTGGTCCTTATCAGTGTGGTTTCGGACCTGGAAAACCAATAACTGACTACATGTTCACCATGCGCTAAATCTTTGAAAAGACTCGTGAAAGAAAGATCGACACGGACAAAGATGCGAGGCAAATGGGTCTGGTAATGAAAGAGGACAAGACGAAATATCTCTTGTCATCAAAAAAGCAGTCATCGCACTCGCGACTAGTCGCAACTTCAAAGTCGTTGATAATTTCCTCTATCTTCGAACCACTATTAACACCAACAACAACGTCAACCTCGAAATCTAACACTCTTGCCAATGAGTGCTTCTTTGGAATGAGTTGCTTTTGAGAAGTAAAGTCCTTTCTCGACGAACAAAGACCAAATTCTATAAGTCCCTCATATCCCCGTCCTGCTGTATGGAGCAGAGGCATAGGCGATGACTATATCTGATGGGTCAACGTAATAAGTTTTCGAGAGAAAGGTTCTACAGAAGATTTATGGTTCTTTGCGCATTGGCAACGGCGAATATCGCATGCAAGGAAACGATGACCTGTACGACAGTAACATAGTTCAGTGAGCCAAGAAACAGAAGCAACTCTCGGTCATTTCGTCCGAATGGATGAAATCACTTCAACTCTGAGAGTAGTTGACGGAGTACACTTCGGGAAAAGCAGAGGAAAGGTAAGAATTCCACTCCGTTGAAGAAGAACCTGGCGACTTTTAAAACCTCCAATTGGTGAATAAGAGCGATAACCGCGTAAGCGGTGGCTACGCCAACAAAGGAAAAGAGGAATTCGTAAAATGATTTAAAACTAGAAACATTACTATCGACAGAACAAATTACTAAGCTATATATGCTTATTTACAGAACTCAATAGATATTTGCATAATTAATTCTACCCAATTTACTCTCAGTAAGACATACTAAGATGCTGACCGAGTTGATGCGAGATCATCAAGTTTATTACACTGAGTGAAGATCGAGCAAAACAGACAAAATTTCAGAATGAATAGTAAGTAAATAAAGAATTATCAACGCTTCAGAGGAATTATTTTAGAATTGAGCACAAAAAGCGATGGATATATGAGTATTATTATAATTTTTAGACTTTAAATGAGTCAAATTGTGAGAGAAATGTACATCAGATAGTTTATTGTTTCAATATTATAATGCGTTCAATTAAGCATATAATTTGATATTGGCTCGAACATGCACAGAAAGGCTGCGCGTGACATTTCGAACGCTCAAATGCCAATGTCAATATGCTCTCCCTCCATTGCTAGCTTAACTCACTTAACACCGTCACTCAGTCGGGTAATAGCAATGAAGCAGCAACAACACAAATATGCTAGAAACTTTAATGACGGTTACGGACAAGCGGCGACTGCGGATGCCGTAGGTTATTCCTGAAATGCTGCAGACGTGAGTTCGTGTCAAATTTATTGCCTGCACCAACACCAAACTGATCAACCTCGCTATCACCGAAATTGCCCTTTCTATGCACGTTACGAATTCGATTAGGAATTTGAACCACCTTTCGACGTTTGGGTCGCTGCTGCAGTGGCTTACCGCCAGCTCCTTGCGCCTGTAAGCGTCGTCTTTTGTTGTAATTATTGACTGGCCTGTTCCTTTCGCCGCCAATACGTTGTTGTGCTTGTATGCGACGTCTGCGTACATTTTGATTCAAGCGGCCACGATTGTTGCGCCTTCGTTGCCCCTCTGGACGTGGCAATTGTCCCATCATTGGAATTTGATTAGTCATACCCGGTTTTCTGCCCATAAACAAAGGTATGCCTGCATTGGCAGTCAATTGCGGTGCATTAGTCATTGTGGGCGCTGCCGTCTCACCGCCCTCGTGCACAGCGTTATCCTGTCGTGCGTAGACTACGTGTGTGAAATGGCCGCGCGTCGCATTCGTTGTCGTCGTTGTGGTTGTCGGCGTTGTGAAAGTGGGCGTCGAATACGTGTATGTTGGTGAAGTTATGGTTGTTGTGGTGGGTGTTGTTACCGGGTTAGATGAGGGTTCAGTCACAATGATAATATTGTTGGACGGTTGAGGAGGCGGTTGTGGCGGTTGCAACATGCTTTTGAGCATCATCCATTTCGCTATGAAACCGCGTCCA